GGGAAAAAAAAACACCTTTTCTTCTGGTTTTATTGAGATATAATTGATATATAACATTGTATAAGTTTAAGGCGTACAGATCTTTCTGCATGCACCATGAAATGATTACCCCAAGTTTAGTGACCATCCATCATCTTGTATACATACAAAATTAAGGAAAAAGGAAAAGTGTTTTTCCTGGTAATGAGAACTCTTAGGATTTACTCTCTTATCAATGTGCATGTATCACATTCAGCAGTGTTAATACCATGTTGTACATTATATCCCTAGTACTTCTTTGTCTTATAACTGGAAGTTTGTACCTTTTAACCACCTTCATCCAACTCCCCTCCCTCCACACACACACACACACACACACACACACCCACCCCGCGCCTCTGGTAACTACAAATCTGATCTCTTTTTCTACGAGTTTGTTTTTGAAGTAAAATTGACTTACAATACTATATTAGTTCCTGCTCCACAGCATAGTGATTTGGTATTTCTGTACATTTCAAACGGATCCCCATGGTAAGCCTAGTTACCATCTGTCACAAAGATGTTACATAATCACTGACTCTATTCCCCACACTGTACATTTCATACCCGTGACTCACTTATTTTGCAACTGAAAGTTTGTACCTCAATCTCCTCTGAGGGATGATTTTGAGTGGAAGGATGGTGATATAAAACTTTGTGTTAGGTGTCTTTCTAAGTGACAGAAACCTGACTCACACAGTTAAGTAAAATAGGATTTATTGGCTTATCTAAGTGGAAAGTCCAAGGCAGGCAGGCTGGACCCCCCGACTGTGACCAGGGAGTCAGATGATATCGCCTTTCAGCTTTGCCCCTTTCTTAGTGTTGGCTTCATTCTGTTCATTGGATCTGGACGCACAGAGGAAAAGGGGGCTACAGGAATTCCCAGGGCTTATCCTTTTTCTCCCCAGGCATGCATATATAAACCCCAGGGAAGAGTCTTGTCAGCTTTATTCAGGCCAGTCGCTGTGCCCAGGAGATGAGCACTCTCACTGCCCAGTCTGGCCCACCGCTCACATCTGGGCCTAGGGCAACATCGTGACTGACAGCCCCTCAGGACCACAAGGCGTAGGGATGCAGAGTAACCCCAAAGGAAGGAAAGCCAGACAGACAAAACCGTAGGTGTACTCGAAGCTTCTCTTGAGATGTTTTTTAAAAGTCTTCACGTTGAACACTAAACAAAGTTTTGAAACTAAAGACAAAGGTAAGTTATGGACAAGTTTTTTCCAATTATCTAGAAATGCTTTGTCCTAACATTGGAACAAATGAAATAATTAGAACCGAATAAAGCTTGAATCAGGTAGCTACTTTTTTCGTTTAATTCATATCTTCCCTACCAACTCATTATTAAAGAGCTATGCATCAATAAATACAAATTACTAAGTGGAAAATGGCCAATAATTTGGAGGAAGACTTGAATAATTGTGAATTAGACAATTCCCCCTTAACGGCAGAATCCATCCTCAGTGATTAATTTCTGTTTCCTCACTTGATCTAAGGTAACTCCTAAGAATATGGAAATGAAGTGATCTAGACTTAATGATATGCGTCATTAGATTGGATTCCCTGGAGCAGACCCTGGGATGGATGGTTGCTCACAGAAGGTTTATAAGAAAGGGAGGAAGGAGGAAGGGGTTAGGCACAGGGAGAAGCTGACCCACCATGCGACTCTCACTGAAACCCCAGCGCATCCTACAGGAGTTCCGGAGCTGGGGGCCTTCAAAGTTCTCCCAAATTAGGGCAAAGAGGCCAGGTCTTTGTGCGGCTGTGTTGACTAGTCATTGGATGCAGGCTGACGAGGAGGGAGAGGGGGCATCAACTTGGTTAAGGCTGCTTCTTCAGCTGGGGGTCACTCCCATCTGGGAGCCACAAGCAGACAACACTGCCTGGCGTCAGGGGAGTGAGCGCCTCAGCCCTGCGGGAGTCAGCACCTACGTGGTGATCCCAGCACCCAACCCTGCAGGACGTTTAAGGGCCCCGCACAAGGGCCGGGTATATTTTCATTTTGGAGACCAGGTTAGAAGAGCAGAAGTTTCCTCTCTAAACGGACTGAACTGCATCCCCCCAACAAATGACCTCCAATGCTGTCCCTTAGGGATGCCTGAGGAATGGCTGGTTCACTGAGTTATGACCCTAAAGCTAATTGGGTCCGTTGAAAAAC